TATATTTTTCAAAAATTTAATTACATATATATTTTTAAGAATATTAAATATGCTTTCATGGCTCTAAGGAAGCATTGCTTTATTTTTAGATCCAAGAATATGCTTTTTCCTTTGTAGATGTGGTACTCCATTCAGTCATTTTTGGCTCTACTGAGACTTAGCTCAGAATAGCGGCGACGATAGAAGGGGCCACACGTGTTATTTTAAAAGATATTGAGCGATACTTAACAACTGGATCAACAGCACTATAATTTCTTGTAATTTGTCCAGATATCTTCAGCGGAATCGGAAGTTAGGGACAATTATATGTCAACAATTTTATTCACTAATCGAATCTGCGAGATAAAGCTGGCTAGCCTAATAGTTCATGGAAATTTATGCACTTATAATGAGATTACTTATATGAACGGAAATTGTTATATTTATACTTTAATAAATGTGATGTACTCAACTTATTAGACTCATTCATTCATTCTACTTTATGATTCTCCTTCTATTTTTCCGGTTTCAGCTTGCCTTCTTTCACCACAGTGCAATAGACCTAGGCCGGGACTTGGACATGGACCAGATCCAAGCCTCAACCCAGGACAGGGATTCGATCCTGAGTCTAATTTTGATTCCCGGATCTCCTTGCAACCATATGGCTGTTGTTGCTCCTCGCCTAGTCAGCTGGCGCCAGCACGTGTTGGGAAGTCTAGTTTGTCATTAACAGGACAAATATCAGCGCCCCATCCACATAGCCTGCAGGTTTTAGAAGGAGGGTCTTTTCAGACTAGTTTGGATACGAATAAATCTACTAGATGCATCTCGCCTGCCTCTGCGCGGCTTGGGGGATACACTCAACTGCGCCGAGTGACCTTGCCTCTCTCATTATCCCAGCACCAATATCAATCTCAGCACGCACCCAGTTTCGCTGTGATTAGTGATCACTCTTCCCCTGCACAGCCCTCTTCTCCATCCGCACTCACCAATCCTATTCCTTCGCAAGCGACACTTCCACAATCACATCTTCTTACGCGTGCAATTGCAGCACCTCCACTAGAGACGAGTGCAATTGCTGCTACTACTGTTTCAGTTGCACTGTTTCCTGAGCATATCAATCCCCCAGATCCTAGCTTTTGTAAGTATGCTGTTCTCCCTGGTATCCGATCAGCCAGAGGCAATCGGGCATCTCTCTTTGAAGAACAAAAGCCAGATGAGTCTCTTGATGATCTGGTTTCTGTTAGCTTTTACGCTTCTTCAGAGCGGAAAGAGACGCTGGTTCAAATACCAGAGAGTCATGAAAAAGGTGAGAGCGCAAAGCAGCCTTTAACGGCAATAGCAGCAAAAAAGGAGTTATTTACCAAATGCAAACAAACTATGGAGACAGATCCCAAGGA